CGCAATACAACGATTTTCATCCGTCCTCATCTGATGTGATCGACAAACGAATCTCTTCTTCATGTACTTTCATTCGAAATGAAGGTCCCCCTAACAACCACATACCCCACAAAAATGCATAGTTGTAGAGCATACACACAATGTGATAGTAGGACGATGAGTATTCCCGACTCATCTGGCCAATTTGATTGTGAGCACAATTTCACCCGAACCGAAGTAGACTGTCTCGAGGACAGTGCAGCCGAACCACAGCTTGCCAAGAGGAATCTGATGCAATCGAACCGCCAATCTGTTCCGAACAGGCATTCATCCGAAATGGAGGTGACCCCAACATGTTTTGTTTTAAGGATAGCACTACCCCCGAGCCTGACAAATCCAATCTTTTCCATTACGTAACCTCTTACCAACCTTCCCTCACTCTAAATCCTTTCTCAACTCTCAAAGGTTTGAAGAATTATGCTAAAGTTGCATCACACATACGAAGCATAACAGGATTTCGATAAATCTGTTGAGATATATCCTTGTTGTGGAGACTTTCATTTCGTGTGAAAATGTATGAGGAGGAGACTCACAAGCCGTTTCTACCATGTCTCTTCTGCCGTCAATAGCAGGATAGTCTTCCTGACTTAGTGTCAACTTGAAGCGGTGACAAGAATGAGTTCTCGCTCGGAAAAAGGTCCATCAACTGACATGGCAGACGAAAACACAGCCTCGTTCCATCCCAAATGAAATGGGATGCCTGGTGGACTGAGTCAATCTGAACGTCGTGTTAAAGTCAAACGGCTGCAGTAGGACCTGTCTTGTTCTGATGGGATCGAACTACGAATCACTTCATCATACACTTTCATACGGAATGAAAGTCACCACAGCAATATATACGCACACATGTTGCCATGACAACTCAGTCACTCTGGGGCTTTTGACATAATTCAGGGCTTAATCGCAGTTTTTCTTAAAATGACGCCATTCAGTGTCACTCAGATTTGCCTCCTGCAGGACCGTGAAGATTAGTTGTCGTGACGAGTGAAACCGAGTTTTCTCTTGACGCACACGAGCCTTTGTGAATGCAAAGTTTTATATGAGTTCGGATCTTCAGTACAGTCAAGATGAGAAAACCTTTTGTAAGACAAGGTTAAATGAAATTCAATGGCATGATGAGATGATAGATTATTTTGGGAAAACCCTAGTATCGGTCCTTAAATCGCCTTGGGCGACCTAGGGCAGCCAAGTTCTTATTCAAGAATTTCTGGTAGTTGTTAAACCCCAACTCAAACCAAACATAAATTCATCCAAAATCGAGCATCACTGAATTCACAATGCTTCTACAAATATCGACTACCACTCTTCACTTCGCTTTGGTTGCGATTTATAAAGTTGTTTACCAATTCGGATTGTTGGTAGATTTACAGAAAGGCAATAGTATATGACAAAGTTGGTGGCTATCAACGGCGCGCTTAAGCAAAATGAGATAAAGCACATTGCTGAACATGCAACTCTATAAGACGTTATTTTCAATGTTGTAGTCAAGGGATAAGGTACAACACGAAGATTTGGTTACCTGCGAGACGCTTGTAAGGGTGCCCAGTTGGAGATTCAATGTAGAGAGGGCATGCCTTGCTCACTTCCTTTTGGTGAACTTGATTGAAAATGTAATAAGCTGAAGTGGTTGTAAAGTATCCTACTTTTGCTAAGCTAAAACACTTGAATATGCTATTTGAAGGAGAGATGGCGATTCCGCTTACGATGAATTGGATATAATACTTACAGTTGCTTCCAAACTGTGCTGCATTCTCGACCCATCAGGAGGGATTCGAACCGTGGATGGCCGGGTTCAGAAGTAACCCCATCTCAGCTCCATTGAGTTACATGAAATGCGTGACATTTGCTTCTTAGTAATTAGCCCTACAGACCTGCAGAAGGGCGAGCCCG